ATGATTGAGTTCCGGGATCCGAATTCTTTAATTACGGGCGGGGGGGGTTTAAATAAAGCAGGTTAACATTAGGGTTTAGGGTTTAGGGTTAGGGAGTTTCGGCTCCCTTCACGAAAGCCTTTAATCCCTTTAATGAATTTAAACAAACTGGCCAATGGATGTAAGACACTCCAAGATGCCAAGAAAGCATTCCACTCCAAGAGCGATCAAGACCATAGGGTTTAGGGTTTAGGGTTTAGGGTTCAAGACGACTCTGTGAGAACATGGACAGGGCCTGGGCGACAGCGCCCCTTGCAACACTGCGAAATGCAAGTTCCCTTCGTATGCAAAAGCACACTGTTTGAAACCCGGAGCCCCCAAGACCTCCGCGCGTATGCCCCCGCCCAGGCGAGAGCCCAGAATATGGGCTGGCCTCGCAATCTAAACCCGTTCACTCTCTCTCTCTCTCCCTCTCTCTCTCTCTCTCTCTCTCTCTCTCTCTCTCTACATGGGACCCGAAGTATTGACACACAACAAGGATTGCTGTCGAACTCCTATAGAATCGGCCCCATAGAAATCCCTGAAGCCCCAAAAGAGACTCAGATGAAAACGTTCAGATAAACAAAATGTATACATACATATTCTTGTATATACATATATACACATACATGTATCCATGTGCGTGCGTGTGTGTGTGTGCGTGGGTGGGTGGGTGGGTGGGTGTGTGGACTCATGCCGCTTCAGCGCCGCTTCACCCAGGAGCTGATCTTGCCCAAGATGCAAACTTGTAGCAGACCGAGGCTGCGCTGTCTAAGGGTTCAGTGAACCCTAAACCCTAAACCCTAAACCCGATTTCACAGCTCCAAGGATTGGATTCGCACCCGGATGAGTGGCATTCTTCGATTTCTTCGACACTTGGTCCAGTGGACGTCTGCTCGCGAGCGATGTCCAATGCTGCGTTGTTGGAATGAACGTGTTGAGGGTTCAAAGGGTCTAGCTACTCAGGTAGTTCCCTTAATGTCCTCCTAATGTGGCCCTTATATTCCCTTAGAGGATCTTAAAAAGGGGCCCTGAGGCAGAGTCCCATGATCTTCGAACGGACCCCGGGTAAGCAGTCGGAGAATGGCCTTACCCAGCTGCCAGCTCTTGAAAAAGCCCTGTCGCCTCAGTTCTTGTGATAGAAAAAGCAAATCTCGCCTGGAAGCTGCCAAACCGACAGCCCCCTTTGGAATTTCTTTTTTTATATAACGCCCTAGAGAAATATGGGAAAACATGCTGATGTTTTTTCGGGTTCTAAGGGGAGTATAGAAACTTCCTTTAGAATGCTCAAAGCTACTCCCGAAGCCGGATCATCTCTCTTTGATTCGGGGGGTACAGGGGTTGCGTCCTTAAGGAAGGAACTTCGAAGGCTTCTATGACTTCGTCACCCAGCGAAGAGTGCCGGACACAGGCAGCATGGCCACTTGACTCGATTTTTGTTCCCCCCCATTCTTCCTGGATTTCAACCTTTGAGCCCCCGATTCGGCACCGTCTTACTTCAACATGCCGCGGGACCCGCTGCATGAGCCCCCTAACCCCCTCAGCCCCCCTTTTTTCTAGCAGTCCTTCTTAGACATGAGAATAGGGGGTACTCTTGATCCCTATTAACGAGCTGTTAGTATAAGGGGGAACATCCCGAAGCTCAGGTGATGTTCCGTGGCCAGGGAAAAAAACCCTAAACCCTAAACCCCCCTAGAAATCTAAGCTCAGGTGATGTTCCGTGGCTACCACCATTCCTTCTGGCACGATGACCCAACAGAGCCGATGATGCGCCTTTTTGCGCTTGGCTCGGGGTCTTGGGGATTGGCTCATGTTTTGGAGTTGGTTTGACCTTATATCTAAGGGTTTAGGGGTTAGGGTTTAGGGTTTAGGGCTTAGGGTTTAGGGATCAAGCAGCTTCCAAGGTTCAAAAAGGGTTGGTTGATGGGCTCATGCACCCTGATTACCCCTAGCCCTAAACCCTAAACCCTAAACCCTAAACCCTAAACCCTATAAACTGAACCCTAAACCCTAGCTTTAAGGCCCTGGAGGACCGAATGAACCCTGAAAGGGTTTATGGGCTCATACACCCTGACTAGAGAGATTATCGCGTAGGGCCTGTGATCCTGATTTTAGGGTTCCTTGCCCCCCCCCCCCCCCCAAAAAAAAAAAATAAATAAACAAAAAATAGAAAAATGCATATATATATATATATAGGATTGTAGTAATTACAGGGTCTACGATCCCAATTTTAGGGTTCCTTTGGTCCCCCCGCCCCCCCCCAACCCAAAACCCTAAACCCTAAACCCTAAACCCTAAACCCTAAACCCTAAACCCTAAACCCTAAACCCTAAACCCTAAACCCTAAACCCTAAACCCTATCTTTCAGGACTCCCTAGTCCCCAGAAAGAGCGGAACTGTGAGCCTTGGGGCAATCCGAGGCACGAGCGCTACAACCGCCGAATGGCTCGGTTCTGGGACATCGACGCCCAGGCCCCCCCCCCCCCCCCCCCCCGTGTTAGGGTTTAGGGTTTAGGGTTTAGGGTTTAGGGTTTAGGGTTTAGGGTTTAGGGTTTAGGGTTTAGGGCCTTCTGGGATTTATAGGGTTTGTATGAGTTGGGGTTTAGGGTGAAGGAGACCTGCGGCAAAGAAAGGTTTTGAGTTATAACCCCCTCAATATAGGGTAGCCCCCATGCCTTATAGGATTCAGGGTTTGTGGGTTAGGGTTTAACGTTGTATGGGTTGTACCTACTAATCAAGGGTTAAGGAGAGCCTGCCGCAAAAACGGGTTTCGGCTTAAGCCCCAAATGCAGGGTGCCATCCCCAGAAGATAAGAGTGCAGGCCAATGGAGCCCTCGGATTTCGCGCAAACCCGAGTTGAATCATCTTCCTCAACCTGCCTCAAGCTTTCCGAACCCTGGTTTAGGGTTTAGGGTTTAGGGTTTAGGTTTTTTTGCTGCTGGGTTGCCTTCAGCTTGGGAAGGCTGGGGGTGGCTTCGAGTCTTGATTTTGGTTCTCACAGTTTGGCGGGCGGGCATCACCTGCAGGGGGTCGTAGAAAACTTGCGAAGGCTGGACATTCCTAAGCCTCAGCATGTAGGGTTTAGGGTTTTTTAGCCTCTAAGCCCCTCTAAACCCCAAGCCCTTTTTGAGGTCCCTTCTAAGAGCCAGCAAGACCTCCCAAGCCCTAAACCCTAAACCTTAAACCCTAAACCCTAAACCCTAAACAGCTTGCGCCCTACCTCTCCCCAGGTGCGGCCCGTTCTCTTCGTGCGCTCCATCGTCTCCAACGAGGTGGGGCCACTTCCTTGGGGACCAAATGAACTTTAAAATTGGGGTTTAGGGTTTAGGGTTATATGCCCTATGCTACTATGATCCCTATTTGGTATAAGAACCATAAACCTTTTTTGGGTCTTACTTGGTCCCCAAGGTTGCAGAAGTGGTCACTTCTCGAAAATCTGAACCCTTGTTGGGGGTCCTTATTATAAGGCGGCCCCCTCTTATTTAAGGTACCCAACAAGGGGCCATAATTTAGGGAACTGACCAAGCAGGCTTCCTGGGGCCTTGAAAGAGAAGCTGTCCCTTGCAATGGGTTTCATGGAGAACTTGAGATTCGGGGACTTGCAGGGTAGAGGCAACCCCAAACCTCTTAGTGGGAGGTCGAAGGCCCTGTGCACCTCTGCCACCCCAACCCTAGTTGACGATGCCGGGCTGCTTATAGGGACCCTAAACCCTAAACCCTAAACCCTAAACCACTCTAGAGCCTCCCACACTGCTGAGGAGGTGCTGCAGATTTCCGAGCTCATGGCCGAACTGCGGAAGCGATTTGGGCGGAATGCGCGGCTTCTCATGGTCCTGGAGTGGCGGTGCTGCAAGAAGATGGTCGGACTTCGGGTGGGCGTGCTTCGTACGATTCCTCTTGGGCTGTGGGGAAGTTGTGGCCACTGGATTAGAGGTGCTTCTGCCCAGATGCAGCTGCAAGAGGTATGTACCCTGGAGTCTAAAAGCTCGGAACCCCGCTTGCACGGCAGACACAGTGACCCTAAACCCTGGGCCATAAACCCGAAACCCGCGCGCAGGAGCCAGTGGCAATTCCATGGCCCAGCTCTTGTGAGGGAGGAGCTGCCAAGCCGCGTCTGCCGCTCCGATTCCTGCAAACCCTAAATCAATAATTAAAAATAGATAAATAAATAAATATATATATATATATATATATCGATAAATATAAAAAAAAAAATATATATATATATATATATCGAGTGAATCCCGGGGCGGCTAACCGGGGTGGGGGTGGGGTGCCCTTACAGAAGGTTTAGGGTTTAGGGTGAGATGGATGAACCTCAGAAGTATAGGAGTTTGGCCTGCGTGTACTCTGAACCATATGCAGCTGTTGCTCAAGCTTCGAAGCTCCCACGCTCAACCTAAAACTCTTCTAGACGCGGTGAAGCGGCCTGCTTCAGAAGCCCAAACCCTTCATAATAAAGGGTTTTAGGGCTTATAGTGTTCATGGGGCTTAGGGCGGCTAAAACAGAATTAAGGTTTAAGCATTGCCCTCAGTCCGTGGTTAAAAGCGTTTGGAGCTCGGACCAGACTCGAACCGAGCGGAAGCCAGCGAAGCTGCAAACATCGGAGCTCGAGAATGTATATACATAGGGAAACTGTATGATTATTCATGCATGTGTGCATACATATCTATATACAAGTATGTGTATATATATATATATAAGACACTTGTATTTGTGCATATCTCTGAGACCTAACCCAAAATCCCTCAACCCCAAACCCCTACAATCCCCCATAGACCTCACAGCCTAGAAAGCCCGAAAGAAGCCATGGGAGGATCCAAAACGCAGAGCCCCCAAATAGTACCCCATTCTCAGGAACCCTTTCTAGGGGATCTTTTTTTGGACCGTAAACCCTAAACCCCAAACCCTAAACCCCAAACCCTAAACCCTAAACCCTAAACCCTAAACCCTAAACCCTAAACCCCAACCCCAGAAAGCCATGGGAGACGCGGCCCCAAGCAAGTGGTTCGGCTGCGCCGTGCGCCGCGTGGTGGGGGAAGCCTCGGAGGCCCCTGAATTTGGGGAGGAGCTCCGGGCTGCCATGGAGCCCCACATCAGCAAGGCAGGGGCTGGGGTTTCGGGTTTAGGGTTTAGGGTTTAGGGTCTGGGGTTTAGGGTCTGGGGTCTAGGGTTCAGGGTTTAGGGTTTAGGGTTTAGGGTGGGTTTTTGTTGGGGGAGAGGCGTTGGGCGTAGGGTTGGAGGTAGGGAAGGCTTACGGGGTTCACGTGGTCTTCTTCTTTTTTTTTTTTTTTTTGGGGGGGGGGGGTGTTGTTTGTGGGGTTTAGAGGGTTCGGAATGTATAGGAGTTCAGGGAGGGGGTGTTTGCTCGATGTTCGAAGATGTTCGTCATTGCTTCATGGTCTGTTTTGACAATTACTCGGTTGGGAAAGGAGGTGGCCGTGGAGTTTTGAAAATCATGGTTAGAACAAGCATCGTTTTATGCTTTGCTGTGTTTGCCTTTGTGTTGGGGAGGCGGGGCATATATGTTGTTTCAGCTTTCTGAGACCCGTTACCCATCCTCCGCGCAAGGCCCGCCAGAAGCGTGAAGAGGCCAACAAGGGAGCAGGTGCCACGGATGTGTTTGTGCCCTACAAGGCTTTGCGCAGCGAGCACCCTTTCTGCTACGACTCTAGCACGTACCCTTTGCATTCGGTCCTGGCTGAAGCCCTTGGCGTCCGCAGTCTGGCGGACGTCCACCACCACCCTGCGCAATCGAAGCAGGAGCTACTGAGCCCACTGCTGGATCGCGAGAGGCGTCAGCGCTTCCACGAGTTGTACGATCACTTCGTGACGTCCTTTTGCATTCCGATGCTCCACAGCTTAGCCGTTGCCAGGGATGTGTTGCCCAAGGTGTCTGGCGCAACCTACCGCTACCAGGCCTTTCCTTGCATCCGCGTGGTTCGCCCCGGGGAGTTCTCCATCGGCCCCCACTGCGACACCGCCTACGGCCACAGCATCGGCAACCTCAACTTCCATATTCCTTTGACACCCATCCTGGGAGTCAATGCTTTGTTTGTCGAGTCCAGTCCGGGCAGGGAAGATTGGCATCCTCTCACAGCCGAAGGAACGGGCAGCGGCTTCCTCTTTGACGGGGCGCGCTGCATACACTTCACCCTGGAGAACGCCACGGACACCACGCGCGTGTCTCTGGACTTCCGCATCGCCTTCTACCAGGAGGGCAGCAGTGAGCTTTGCACCAAGGAGCAACTGGCAGACAGTTTCTGCACCGGGGCCTGCAGCTGCTATTACGATGAGGCTGCTGTTTCCCTAGCCCATGCCCCTGCAGGGGTCGTGGCCAAGAAGGCTGCGAAGGAGTTGTTGGAGCCAGATTGGCGCGTGGGACTTCCCTTCAGCAAGCGGGCATAGACATGGGGTCAGGTGTGCCCATACACCTTAAGGAGGTTTCAGGGGCTTGCAACCTTGTGTTCTCCAACTTTTCAGAAGACTTACAATGGCACATGTCACATGCCCCAGAGCCTTCTAGATTGTAAGAGGCACCGGCAAGTGCCTAGGGTCTCTTGTGGGGTCCCGATAGGCATGCGTCGATGTTATGACGAGGACCTGAAGAGCATCCTAACTTAGCCCTCAAGCGTGAGGCCTTCCCGCAATGCCCTCGGCGCTAGCCTTAAAGACCCAACGTCAGCCTTTTTTATGAAGACTCAAGGAAACGTGTGTACACAGCCACAGGACAATGGAGCTTAAGCCTTGAGCCCTATAAACCCTACACCTTAACCCCTAACCCCTAACCCCTAACCCGTAACCCCTAACCCCTAACCCCTAAACCCTAAACCCTAAACCCTAAACCCTAAACCCTACACCCTACACCCTACACCCTAAACCCTACACCCTCAACCCTCAACCCTCAACCCTAAACCCTAAACCCTAAACCCTCTCCAGGAGCCCGGGGTCTTCTTGTACTACATGAGCGCAAATGTGCACAAGCCGGACCACAAGTTCATAAAGCCGCTGGTGATTGGGATGTTCCCCCTTATACCAGCAGGGTTTAGGGTTTAGGGTTTAGGGTTTAGGGTTTAGGGTTTAGAGTAGGGATTCTAAGAGGGGGCACTATAGTTCCTATCAAGGACTGTTAGTATAAGGGGGAGCGCCCCAAGCTGATGATCAAGTTTGGCAAAGTTGCCGCCCAAGTTGCCGCCTTCGGTTGTATTCTGCCCTAAACCCTAAATCCTGAACCCTAAACCCTAAACCCTAAACCCTAAACCCTAAACCCTAAACCCTAGACCCTAGACCCTAGACCCTAAACCCTAAACCCTAAACCCTAAACCCTAAACCCTAAACCCTAAACCCTAAACCCTAAACCCTAAACCCTAAACCCTAAAACCCTAAAACCCTAAAACCCTAAAACCCTAAACCCTAAAACCCTAAAACCCTAAACCCTAAACCTCTAGAGAGTTCAGGAGGCCGCCAAGCAAAGCTCCACTTGTATCTGTGCCGCCAGGACCATCCCGACAACCTGATGCCCTATGCCCGCTCCGATGCAGCAGACATAATTTCGGTGGACTTTGGGCATACAGCCTGGACAATCGTATTGTAGCCGTGTCGCCTTCATGAAACTTCAAAGGGACATCTGTGCCGTGCCCTACTAAGTTGTATCTATGTCCTTTTCGGGGAGGTGACAGGACCCAAAAGCTCAGAGCTCCTAGAATTTGCTCATCTCAGCTTAGAGCCCTGGCAAGAACTCCTTTAAACATGCCCTTTATAGGGTTGATTATGGGGATGATAGGGCCTAGTATCCCTAAACCCTAAACCCTAAACCCTACTAGGCCATCCTGGTCCGGAAGCTGAGGCCCAACGCAGTTTGCCTTGGATTGGTGCATCGGAAGGGAGCCGGTCGTTGAGCCCCACGTCTTCCAATCCTTGCATGAAGCCTTTGCCGTCTCGGACCCTTATCCAGGAGAGAGAGGGGCGGGTTTAGGGTTTAGGGTTTAGGGTTTAGGGTTTAGGGTTTAGGGTTTAGGGTTTAGGGTTTAGGGGTGGTTAGGAGAAGTGTTGTGTTGCTTGCACAAGGGAGTGGAGGCGGGGTTCCACGGGCATGAAATGAAATAAGCAACTCCGAGGGGAGGCAGCATGTCCGGGAGGCCCTGGGGTTCTACAGCCTCCACTTTTTTTTTGAAGCAGATCAGCTGCAACAAAAATCCTTAGAAACGAGGTTCAGGGATTTCCTGAGTTGGACGCTTGCTGCCATAGTAAAAGCTTATAAGGAGTTCCCGACACACCTCGCTCGAAAGCCCTTTTCCGAACTATTCTCTACCAGGATGGGCTATTATACCCTATAATCCCTTAAAATGCCCTTTATAGGGTTCATTATGACGATGTTAAGGCCTGATAGCCCATCCTGGTAGACAGTAACCAGTCTATACGCCCAAAGAAGACCAGTCCCCATCCGTTCAGGGTGAGGGTCGAAGCCCAAAATCCACAGACCTTGAACCCTAAACCCATACCCTAAACCCTAAACATAAACCCTAAACCCTAAACCCTAAACACAAACCCTAAACCCTCAACCCTCAACCCCCAACCCTCAACTAAGACACACACACACACACACCCGCCTTGCGCAGGAGGCATGAACGGGATGGGAGGCCTCATCGCCTTCGAGGCCCCTGGCTACCACAAGAACGGCCCCAAAGTTGCTAAGGTTTAGCGTTTAGGGTTTAGGGTTTATAGGGTTTATAGGGTTGTCAGGTGCTGAGTAGGTAATCTTGAGCCTCCCAAGCCCTTACAAAACCCCCGAAGGTGAACTTTTTGTTTCCTTCAAAAATTGAGACGGCCAGTTCGTTTAGGCTTTGGGTTGTTTTGGCTTTAGGGCTCCAACAAAACACTGCCCTCTCTCCACGAAGCAAGCAGTGACACGTCCAGCGAAGTGCAAAATACTCTTGGGAGCTGGTCGGCTTGGTGAAAGTCAGGGTTGGGCCATGAACCTAAACCCCAAACCCGAAACCTTCCGACGAGAGCCGAAACCCTAAACCCTAAACCCTAAACACCTGGACAAAGTCGTGTTGAGACGCAGCGGATGCGGCGTTGGGCTCGAGCTCGTTTTCCTACTACGTAACCAAGAACCAGCCAGCCTGTGCATCTTATCCTGTGGTGGTTGTTGTGAGGGTTCAGGGTTTAGGGCTTAGGGTTTAGGAGCCGAAGCCGTAAACCCTGAATAAGCCCTCATAACTTGGGATGTTCCCCCTTATACCAACAGTCCTTAATAGGGGTTTAAAAAGGGGGGGGGGTACTATAATCCCGAGATATCCCGAGTAAGGACTGCTAGTATAACTGGGGAAACATCCCGAAACCCCAAACCGTAAACCCTAGACTTCTAGCCCCTTACGCCCCTACAGTCTCCTCACGCCGACCTGGCCCTCGAGGAGACGACACCCGAGGCTTCCCCGGCGGGCAACGAAAATGCAGTTCCTGTCCAGGCACGGATCCGGCTTCCTCAGTCAGGGATTCAAGGTCTTAGGGTTTAGGGCATTTACGGGTTAGGGCGTAGGTTTGTTCAGGACTTCCTGTGCCCTAGCACCCCACAACCCTGGCATTGCTGTGGGAAGCTGAGCAAACAAGGATGGCTAGTCAGCGCCTTGTCATGCCTAGTCCTGCCCGCAGGATGCCAGCTACGCAAGTGACTTGCGTGGCAAGGTACCGTTTCACCCGCAGGCTGCAAACGCAGCTGCCATGTACTCGGTTTAAGATGTAGACGCTGCATAGCTCACCAGACTGCGCAGTTCGAGGATGCCCCGTACCCGTCTATTCCTCATTTCAGAGCTTCTGCTCCCGTTTATGAAGTCCCTCAATTCCGCTTAGGGTTTAGGGTTTAGGGTTTAGGGTTTAGGGTTTAGGGTTTAGGGTTTAGGGTTTAGGGGCACCCTTCATACTAGTTTTTTCGGGCAGCCTCGAGTTGAGCCTGTGCGGCATAGTGTCTGGGCAGAGTTCGAGGCCTGCACACAGGGCTTGCCTACGAAGGCACATTGGGGGGTTTCCAGAATTAAGGGTTTAGGGTTTAGGGTTTATTGGGGTCCTTATCCTACTATTTGGGGGTCTATATTCAGGGTCCGGTGCCCTTATTTGCGTAAACTCCCAATGTCACAAAACCGTAAACCCCAACATGCCCCTTAGCCGGACAATAAGGTCAACATGAAGAGTCTGAAAAAATAAGCCTTGCAGAGCCTTATGAGTCTCATTATTCAAAGGCAGAGTAGCTTCAACAAATAAACCCAAAATCAAGCTTGAAAAGGCAGTTTTTTCGGGACATTGTTTGTAGAACAGCAGTTATGTTTTTTGCATGGGCCATAACCTGAAGCAACGAAGAGGGGTCTTTTCCATGCGTGGCAACACTGGTCGTGCTGAAGGTATATTCCACCTACTCTTCGAGTGGGGTCGTGCCAGGGATGCACAGTTCTCAGGTTTTCGGAAGCAATGGGGACTTGGGACATAGGCACGCCCTGCACCCTTCTTGCACAAAGTAGAAGCAGACTGCCCAGATTCGCCCCCTTTGGGGCAGCAGACCGGCGCCCATTATGCCATAGGCTTGCAGCGGGGTTTCGGGATCGATGCGCGTACGGAAGGATGACTTAGCACGGCATGGCGAAGGCACGCGGAATGCGCATCAAAGCTCCCGGCGCGCTCAAAGCATCAGCTTCTGTTCGGCCTCGTTTTGTTTTGACCCTTTTCAGAGAAACCAGCTTTTTAGGGTTTAGGGTGAAACTGGTGTTTCACAGAAACCAGCACTAGGGTTCAAAGGAATGCAAAAGTGCGCAGCTGAGCCATGTGCTATGTCTCGCACCCTCGAATCCAAGCAGCAAGCCTCCTCGTTCCTCGGGAACTGTGCCTTTTCTTTTTAAGCATGTCATAGTTAGGGTTTAGGGTTTAGGGTTTAGTGTTTAGGGTTTAGGGTTTAGGGTTCTAGCTGTGGTTCAGCATGTCTTGAGTATGTCCGCTCCCCAGAAGATGCTCCGAGGAATGGCGTGGCTGGCGCACGAGTGAAAATGATCTCTTAGGATCATGAGGCTGGCCAAAGTCGCGCCAGTCTCCATGAGAATAACAAAAGCACGAAGAGATCACTGCCTCTAAGTTGGGCGGTGTTTAGGGATGGGAAAGGTGAAATGACCGACAGATCTCAGGAGCAGGATCTGGTTCTGTGATGTTTTATGCGGGGTCGGATCTAGCGCGCACAGGGGCATTCATGTGATAGGAGTCGTGGGAAGCCGATTGGATCTCCGGAAACCACTACTCGGTGCTTGTATTTGAGACGCTGCCATCCTTAAACCCTAAACCCTAAACCCTAAACCTTGTTCCGAAAGCCCCAAGTTCTCTCCTGGGGAGTTTCTTTGTTGTTCTTGGAAAGCTCTTCTCGGCCTTTGAGACGTTAGGGCATACCTGGACCCCCAAGGTATGTAACAAAAACAGCCCAAAGCCCTTAAAAGGGCTATTACTTTACATATTTTAGGGGTTGAGGTACGTGCCTTCAGGGCTTTTTCTGGTCTCAGGCTCTATGCCCCTGAAACATCGAAGCTACATCTCCGTGCGCTTATAGGGACAAGACAAGCTTGGGAATCAAAGAAGGGGAAGATTTTGCAAAGTCCTTTGAAACCCTAAAACCTTGAACCCTAAACTCCTAAACCCTAAACCCTTGACACACAAAACAAGCAAGTGGACCCACATAACACCTTGAACCCTAAACCCTAAACCCTTGAACCACAAAACGAGCAAGTCGACCCACATAATGCGTGAAACCGACGAAAAAGGCGCCATGCGGCTGCGGTCTCCGGTGCCCGAGCACGTGCTCCGAATCGGGTTGCCTGGCGATGTGTGTGCTGGGCAGCCCTGAACCTTCAGGGTTTAGGGTTTAGGGGTTTAGGTTTAAGTGTTTAGGGGTTTAGGGTTTAGAGGTTTAGGGTTTAGGGTTTAGGGGTTTAGGGTTTAGGGGTTTAGGGGTTTAGGGTTTAGGGTTTAGGGTTTAGGGTTTAGGGTTTAGGGTTTAGGGTTTAGGGGTTTAGGGGTTTAGGGGTTTAGGGGTTTAGGGTTTCGGGGTTTAGGGTTTATATGAACAGCACAGGTCCATAAGCCCTCTGGTAGAGTTTGGTTTAGGGGATTAGGGCTACATGGATTTGATTTGATCCCGCCATGAAGAAGTGTTTGCATACCCGGTGTTGCTTCTGCACAGTTTTGAGGACCGATTCCAGGGCTGGGTGTCCATGATCGCACATGGGGTGGGCGGGGGATAACGTTCCAGACAAAGATGTTGAGTCAGCTGGCAATTTAATATATTATGGTTTGTTTTACTGAAGCACCCCGGACGGGCTGCTTGCGTCCGCGTTTATGCAAACATGGCCCGGGGAAAGGGCAGGAATAGGGTGCCAGCAAGAGGAGACCGGGTCTACGAAGCAAGCACTGGCAGGTTCTCCACTGCAAGATCGACGCCCATCATGGGCGACAACGAGGTGCCCAAGCTCATGCTGAGCTCGGATTGGCCCCCCCCTAAACCCTAAACCCTGAACCCTGAACCCTGAACCCTAAACCCTAAACCCTGAACCCTAAACCCTAAACACCCCCCCCCCCCCCCCCCCCCTGCCCCCGCTCCCCCACGCAAGTTTCGGGCCCTCCTTGCATGACAGCAGTTCAACTCAACCATGGCATCTTCATCGATTTAGTCATATGTTGGCCCAAGCTTTCTCTGAAATAGGCTTGTTTACATATTCTGAATATACCAAGTACAAAATTTTGGTTGGAATAGTACATCAGCACAGCCCTTAAAGCCTTTGCATTCCCCTCTGTCAGTTGTCTGCATTCTGGGTTGGCAGATGCAGAGGACTTGTAGTAGTAGAGAAGGTAACCTTTAACCTTTTTGGGGGTCTTCTAATCCCAACAAAATCCAAAAGGTCAACCTTTCGTTCCCCTATGATACTGGACAACTAAGAGGTGCGACAGCCTTATTGCAGACGTCGGGCCTGGGTTTGCTCCTCTCCCCACTGGATGTTGACATCGACCCTTCTCCACTTGCGGAGAGAAGATCCGCAGCTAATTCTGCCCTTCTCATTGCCTTGAGCATGGCGTTGCAGAGTGCTGGCCAGAAGATGGGAATGGAGCTCTACCAGGTCATGCGTTCCTTGGGAGATGGATGTTCCGATTGCTGTGGTCGGTCGCGTGCTTACCTTTGCAGCAGATCGGCCGTCCCTAGCCGATGTCTTGCAGGGGGCAACCAGGCAGTGATGAGCAGTAACAGCGGCCGGTCATTTAGAGATACATGTCGAGCTCATCGTATCTTATCATTGGGCAGGCAAGCACGAGCATAAAAACCCAAGCAACGGGGTTGCTGGGTTTGCAGCCGAGGACATCTGTTCAGGGCCCCCCCCCCCTTGTGTTTTCAATAGTTTCAATAGGACCCTGTAAGACTTTTTGAGGGGGGGTGGGGAGGGGAAATTATCATTGAGTTCCGGTCCTGAGACCTTAGTTGATGAGGCAGGGTTTTAAAAATTCTGCAGTGGACATGTTGCAACGCAGCTTCCCTCTCAGCGCGTGCATGCATGCGAGTTGAAGGCTATGTGGTCGCCCATATTTCGGGGGTCCGGGATCCGGGCTTCTTAAGCTCTGAAAGGCTTGAAGTCCAGACCAGCAGGGGCTCTTAGGCCCCTATGATCCCTAAGCCCTAAACCCTAAACCCTAAACCCTAATTTTGGGGGAGTTGTAGGGTATAATCGCCTGGGAACTCTGGCGTGGGAGGCGAGCATCTGCTTCGACTCAGACGGCGGTCTGCTCTTCAATAGGACCGTGGCATACGGGGTTTAAGATCTCGTGCATCAAGTTCAGCATGAGGGAGGGAGGGGAGGCAGTGAGGGAAGGAGCGAAAGAGAACAAGAGAAGAGAGAGAGAGAGAGAGAGGGGAGTAGGTTTAGGGCTGTGTTGTTCTAGCACCGAGGTGGATACATGAACGGATGCCGGCACAGAGATGAATCTCACCCAACCCATGTAAATACACACATTTCTGATGCCGGCACCCACCGAGGGCCAACAACAACTCATTTGGGGGGAAGGCCAATGAGCCTCGTAAGGGAGGACACACCAAAACCAACCTGTAGCTATCACCTTCAACTTTCGTTGTGGCACTTTCCGGGTTGTCCGACCATCACCAAAGCCCCCATTTCACACCGACAGACCCGGTATGAAGCGTGCCACTCGGGGCGACCCCCCACCAGGGGGTTATACGCTATCAAGCAAGCAAGCAAGCAAGCAAGCAAGAGGGGAGTAGGAACAGTTGGGGAGTGCACATGCGCCCCAAATTGGCAAGGATGCCGCCAAGTGACGCTATTCGCTATGAACGTTACCTTAGGTTTTGGTTTAGGTTTAGGGTTTAGGTTTGGTGATGCTTGCCTAGACAGAAAGTTTGTCAAAGGCCTTTCCCAGCTGACTGGGTTCAAACAAAAAATTGGAAACCCTAAGCCCTAAACCCCAAACCCTAAACCCTAACCCTAGAAAATTGGAGAGAGCTCAACGACCAAAGAGAAGCCTGAAGGAAGCGCGTGCCACTTCTGGAAGCGAAGTATGGGCCCGAAAGCACGGTGGCGGTGGCAGGGACCCCAGGGAATTTGTGGGGGAGGTGGTGACCTAGTGTTTATAGGGTTTAGGGTTTAGGGCTCGTAAACCTCTAGGCAAGACCCCTTAAACACCCTGTAACACCCTAAAAGCCCTTTCAAACCCTGTGAAACCCCATAGCTCGCCTAAACCCTAAACCCGAAACCCGAAACCCTAAACCCTAAACCCTAAACCCTAACCCTAAACCCGAAACCCTATGCCGTACAGGGTTTACCGGGCTCATACATAAGAGGCCTTAGGATCGAAGAGCGAGAGTAAACGGGTTCAAGTTTAGGAACCAGGGTTTAGGGTTTAGGGTTTAGGTTTAGGGTTTAGGGTTTAGGGGGCTTACAGGGTTCCTAAACCGTAAACTTAGGTTCCAGATTCGCACGAGCGTGAGCGTCGAACCCTTCCTTAAGAACCCAAAACCTACCTCAGCAAAACCCTTATAGGATTCTGAACTATCTGCAAAAAAGAGTTGGTTTTGGGTTCTTAAGGTAGGGTTTATATAGGGTGCCCGTGTTCTCTCCAAACTGCGGGGGTCCAGTGGGGGTTGATCGAAGGTGCTCAACCTCGACCCAGAAAGCGCGGCGGCCCATTTTGGGGTTTAGGGTTTAGGGTTTAGGGTTTAGGGTTTAGGGTTTAGGGCAAACCCTAAACCCTGAAAATCCCTAACCCTGGGGTTGGGGGGTATCGCCTTCTAGGGTTCTGGGCTCGTGGTTTTGAGGCCTTCAGGAATTTGAGCTGGAAGGCTGGGATGGAAATCCTCAACTCCAGAAGCCTTCCTTGGCCTGAACGCCCAGACGGTAACCTAAACGTTGGCTGCCCTGAGAAAGTTGTGCCGTCTTGGTCTTTACTGAATTCGGGTGCTTGGGTTTGTAGGGTTTAGGGATTGTTTTTTTGGGTGCTCGGGGCCTGGAAGCTTACGCTTGCCCTAAATGACCCTAAACCCTAGACCCTAATCCCTAAAACCCTAAACCCTCAGCCTAAACGGACCTAAACCCTAAAACCTAAGCCCAGGTCCCAACATGAACACCATGTCCCTGTACAGAGATGGACAGCGCCTCGCCGACCCGCAGACGCTGCCTGAAAGCTTGCAGGGGAAGGCACTCGGGTCTTCTAAACCCTAAACCCCAAACCCCAAACCCTAAACCCTAAACCCCGAAATCCTAAATCCGAATGCTGAGCAACAACATTGCACTCTGAGCCCCAAACAGCCTTGGGGTCGTGAAAGGTTCCGTTTCCACCCTTGCCCCCCCATCGGAACCCTGAAGCAAGTGATCGTGAAATCCTGGCAGAGCATGTTTGGGCCGAGTTTCCAGGCCAAGCCGTTCCATGAACGTTCCCTAAACCCTAAACCCTAAACCCATGCGTCAGTGTCTGTGTGGCCGGCTAGACTGTTTCTTTGGATAGTTTGCTTGGGTTGCCTGTGATTGCAAGACACAAGTGTAAACAGAGCCCCAAAGCGCGTTGGAGAAGCTGGGGGAGCTGTTGTCAATACCACGGAAAGAATGTACCAGAAACCCTAAACCCCTATCCGTAAACCCTAAACCCTAAACCCTAAACCCTAAACGCCGCATTCCAACTGCTACTGCCCCTGGGCCTTTGCAAGGCGCTGTTTCCAACCCTGACGTACAAGAACATGCGGGAGCCTTACTATCGCTTTGCCTGCTTTGCATGTGCCTCAAAAACTCCTGAGAGTAGAGGCACTCCTGAAGCCCCAAGGGGCTAGGGTTTAGGGTTTAGGGTTTAGGGTTTAGGGGCTGAATCTCATGGAAGGCATTGTTTGTAGAGTTCTCACATGCCATTATACAACCTGGTATAATCTACAGGTTGAATTCTTGCAGTTTAGTCTGAAAACTCATCATTATGTTTCACGAAAGTTGGCTCGTTACATTTGTTTGTTCAGTCATAGTAAAAGGTGATCATGATATACGGCTTTGAAATCCACTCGAGATGGGTTCTTCAGAGCAGTGCCTGCCCCTAGCTGTTGAAGGTTCAGCGCTCGAGAGTTCCGTCTGAAGCGCCTCGTGTAGAATCCCATGGCCATTCTGAACCTCAAATCCCAAAACCTGCAAAACCATCTGAAACCCTGAGATTGCCCATTGCCGATGGTGTGAGAGAGAGTCGCAAACTCGCCAGCCCCAAAACCATGCAGAGATCTCTAACCGCCCCAAACCTGCAAATACTTGTAGCTGTTTTTTCATCGACTTCGCTCGGCGTTGAGCAGTGCCGCTTCGCCTGGTCACGGGTGTGGAAAAAGGGGTTCCCCCTTGCGCTCGTAGGTGTTGTGGGTTTGTGGGATACTTCGGTTTAGCGTTGTTACTCACTTGTATGTAGTTGTGAGGGCATGTGCAGGGGCTTGTTATGTTTAGCCTTTCGGTTGGAAACAACTGAAACAGGCGACTTTGTGCGCTGCTGTTGTGCCCCATGGTGTGATGAGGTCAGCCAGGCAGACGGCGGCACCAACAACCCACAACCAACAACCAGCAACCAGCAACCAACAACCAAGAATCAACACCAGCAATACCAGCCCAGCAACACCAGCAACCAAGAACCAACAACCAAGAAGCAAAGACCAACAACCAACACCCAACAACCAACAACAAACAACAAGCAACAAGCAACACGAAACAGGCAACAGGCAACTAACAACAAACAACCAACAACCAAAAACCAACAGCCAGCATCAGCAACGCCAGCATCACCAGCAACACCAGCATCACCAGCAACACCAGCAGCAACAGCAACACCAGCAGCACCAGCAGCACCAGCAACAGCAGCAACACCAGCAACACCAGCAACAGCAGCAACAGCAGCAACAGCAGCAACAGCAGCAACAGCAGCAACCGCAGCAACAGCAGTAACAGCAACACCAACACCAGCAACAGCAACAGTGAAGAAGAAGAATAATAATAAGAAGAAGATAAGCAAAAGAAAAGAAGAATTAGGCACAAAAGAAAAAGAAGACTATTAATAATTCGTACAAACGGAAGAGGGGCAATAGCAACAGAAGCAGCAAAAAAGCAAAGGCAAAAGCAACGGCAACTGCAGCAGCGACAGCAACATCATGAGCAACAAACACCGCAACCGCAGCAAGCAACCAACAGCCAACAACGAACAATAAGCAATAACATAATACACGAACAATGGAACACACACACACACAAATACAAACAACAGACAGCTAGCAACAAACAGCAAACAACAAGCAACAAGCAACAAACGACAGACTGACAAGCAACATCAATGATGATTATGATGAAACCATTTCTAAACTCCGACCCTGCGAACCCTGCAGGTCCTGTAGCAACCTAACATAAAGCCCCAGCCACAAGCCCTTTAACGGCCTAAACCCTCAGCCCTAAACCCTAAACCCTAAACCCTAAACCCTAAACCAGCCCTAAGCCCCTAAGCCCTGAGTCCAAAGCCGATAAGACTAAAGCCAAGCATCGAGAGCCAGCAGCCCCCAGGAACCTCCACGTGAATTTCGGCCCGGCCCCTTACGTTCCGCTGCCCTTTAAGCCAGGGCCTCAGGAGAAGAAGTTTAGGGTTTGGGGGTTTAGGGCTAAGGGTTTCGGGCAAATGGTTGGTGAAAAAGGTTCTGTTTTGGATGAAGGTTTAAAAAATTGGGGGGGGGGGGGGGGGGGGCATGGTTGTAAAAGAGCTAGTTCAGCAAGGCTGCTGCTTGCGTTCCAGCACGCAGGGTGGAGCCTTGATGGGGGGGGGGGGGTTGGATCAAGTGGTGCAAAGGATGGTGAGCCCAGGGCCCCCAGCCCTAAATTGCCCTAAATCAAATCCCGAATAAATCCCCAAACCTCACCAGTCTTGTGTTTTTGTTGAGCAGAACTTCAAGCCATATGCCCTAAACTCCAATCCTTGAAAGCCCCGAAGTCTGCAGTGCGACGCGGCTGTGGCAAGGCTAGGCTGGTGGCACCACAAAGCAAGTGGCGCCAGATTTCCGAAATCTCGATGCCTCGAAGAAAGAGGGGGTTGCCAAAAGGAGTGGGGTGGTGAGCGGCTCCGTGTTGCAGCAAATTGAACCTCGGGGCCTCAGTCAAGCGCTTTGGCGTTTGGGCCCACATGGGCTTCTTGTCAACCGCTGAGCGAAATCTTCGAAGCACCTCGAAACCTGCAAAGAGCATCCGGCCCAATGTCACATGGGAGCTTTTCAAGCCGTCTCCGGATGGTGATACTTCGTGCATTATAGAAATGGTCCATTTGCGGAATGAGACGAAGCAGGCGAAGCAGGCTCGACATGACGAGCCCAAACACATGCGGTCGCCCTCTCCCTCATATCATCTCTCGATTGTAAAGAATTGTTTAAGAAGCTAGAAAAGCAAAGTGCCACTAAGCTCCATGAATCACGAAAGTGGGGAGGGGGGGGGGGTCACGGCGAACGTGTGGGAGAAGGCTCTCGCGGCCGCAGAACTGCGTATAAGATCCCCATCAATGTCCATCGCATTTAGTGGAACTGGAAACCTGCGCAAGATCCGCGTGACAGAGCGGCTGCGGATTCCAGCTTTGGGTGGGGGGGGGGGGGGGGGGCTCGCTCACATCGTCATGGCAGCCGGCCGAGATCGTGCAGAACCCGGCAAGTCCATCCCCTTCAGTGAAGACACATCTTGCGTAGGGTGATGTGCTTGCAGATCAGGGTGCAGGTGAAGACGGCTGGGCGCCTTCGGCCACATGGCGAGCCAAACCCCTCAACCCGCAAGGAATTTCATGGGGTTCTGGCGAGCGGCTCGCTGATGAGCAATTGGACCCCTTTAACCCTAAACCCAAAACCCTAAACCCTAAATCCAATCAAGCCCGCCACACAGACTGTAAGCCTTTCCGTGCTTGGCACACAGCCTGGGAAACTTTGGACCGTCAACTCGACCTCCGAAGCCCAACTCCGGGGCCCCCATATCCGTAGGTGCAAGATGGTGCAGGAGGCTGCCACGAGCCCAGAAGTTGTTTGCTTGGGTTATCAGGTCCTATATCGCAAAGTTCAGGGAGGGTTCAGAACTCCGTGCTCAGAGCTCAGAGAGAGAGAAGGAGAGAGAGAGAGAGAGAGAGATAGAGAGACAGAGTGAGTGAGTGAGTGAGTGCGTGAGTGAGTGAGTGAGTGAGTGACTGAGTGAGTGAGAGTGAGAGAGAGTGAGCGAGAGAGTTTTCAGGGTCTGTTGGGGGTTTCATGCCGGCGCTCGGCATGCAAATAGGGCTTTGCCTAAATTGCGTGGTGAAGGTCATGTTTCGTCATGATGTCCTAGTGCCAGGTCGAGGTCGAGTGCACAGGTCCATTTTAGGAATGGTGAGGGGAGTATACTGCAAGCAGTGGACCTCTCAAACCCTAAGCCCTAAACCCTAAATCCCAATGTTGTTCGCCTGTGTCGCTGGCCTTTGGCACCAGCGTGCTGCTCTCAGCATCCATCACCTGAAGCAGCCGGCTAGTTTGCAAAACAGTCATGGCAACAATGCGTGGCTCGACTGCACACAGGACACAGTCTAGAGTGCCAAGGGCTTAGGGTTCAGGAACATGACTTCGGGTTGAGGGGTTAAGGGACCTCAGTGGAACAGACCCAAGTTAAGGGAGGGGGGTTCATGGGGGGTAGGTACCTAGGGAACCTTAGGGAAGCTTAGAGTAGTGGGGAGTACTAGGGAACCTTAGGTGACATACCCCCCTTGACCCCCCCCTCCCTTAAGAACCCGAAAAGATTGAGTGACAGGTCAACCATGGCTCTTAGCAGGCGCACAAACACTGAACGCTTTGCTGACGGACTCCAGGTTTGAATGCGAGGCGACTGGCAGCCAAACCTGAAATCCTTCTACTGCAGGGGTCGGAAGAATAGCATTCCCTTATGGGCCCTTTATAATTATACTATAATCACCCCCATATTCGAATTATTAAAGCCCTTATATGATAGGCCTTGGAGCAGTAGTGTCCAGACCCACTCGGGTGTTGAACAACCACACGGCCACATCCAAACACAGTGAATGTCGCTGCTGGGCACACGCAAAGCCCTAAAGCTTAAGCCTAAACCAGCACCGCATAAACCCGGAACCCGGAACCCTAAGCCCTAAACCCTAAACCCTAAACCTTATAAACCCTAACCCCTCTTCAACCCCAAACCCTGGGGGGCAGCTGCTCCTCCGGACCCTTTTAGCTGTTGCCGAGGATCAACCTACCACTCGGGACATGGAGGCAGGCCGAAGCGTGAGACCCAACAACTAGTAGTAGTAGTAGTAGTAGTAGTAGTAGTAGTAGTAGTAGTAGTAGTAGTAGTAGTAGTAGTAGTAGTAGTAGTAGTAGTAGTAGTAGTAGTAGTAGTAGTAGTAGTAGTAGTAGTAGTAGTAGTAGTAGTAGTAGTAGTAGTAGTAGTAGTAGTTAGTAGTAGTAGTAGTAGTAGTAGTAGTAGTAGTAGTAGTAGTAGTAGTAGTAGTAGTAGTAGTAGTAGTAGTAGTAGTAGTAGTAGTAGTAGTAGTAGTAGTAGTAGTAGTAGTAGTAGTAGTAGTAGTAGTAGTAGTAGTAGTAGTAGGAGTAGCAGTAGCAGTAGCAGTAGCAGTAGCAGCAGCAGGAGTAGTAGCAGCAGCCGCAGCCGTTAACCGGGATTTAGGGTTTAGGGCAGGTTAGGGTTTAGGGGAGATGCCCCTTCATCATGACCTCCATGTGCAGACCTGTTGGCTACTTATGTGGTGCTATCTCTGGACAGCAAGGAAGCCTGGCAACTGTGCCCACATAAAACCCTGCACGAAACCTCAGCCCATCATCCTAAAAATCCTAGAACTCGCCATCCCTCGTGCCTTATGCCTCAGCCCAATTTCGTAGCATGTCTTCTTTTGTTTCGGCGTTCCTGTGGGCGCCTGGGTTGCCTTCTGGGCCTTTCTAAGTTTGTTGTTTCGACGCCGCCCTTAGCAGTATAGGACTCGGTGAGGTTTGTGGCTATCCGCCTATCCGCCCTTCAAAGTGCCAAGCCCTGTAGACCCAAAAAACCTATTAGCCCCAAAGCTTGGTAGGGCCCTGAAAGTGCAAACCCTCAGGAAAAAAAAAGAGCCCAGACTCATGTTGCGTCTCGCGCTCGGATTGCCGCTCTTCAGAGATTGCGCTGCAGACTGTAGAGTTTTCGCAGGAGCGCAGCAATACAATTCCCTGTTCTCCCCTTCGTTCTCGAGGCATCAATGCCCTATTCAACCTCAAACAACGGTCGCCTATAGAGAGCCCTGAGAAGCTTCGGCTACGGCCTACGGAGTCTTGGGCGTAGGGTTTAGGGTTACGGGGTTTAAGGTGAAGCTTGCTTGGGTTCAGGGGGCCCTGTTGCATGAGCCCCGCCAGGCGAGACCTATGGACGAGGGCGTCAGGTGGGGTTAGATCAACATCTCCCCCTTCATTCGCTGTAGAGCCTCCATGCGTAGGATTCAGGGGGTTCGAAGATGACTTGTGGGTTACGGTACGTTTTCGGATGTTTGCAGGCGGTTTATGGTTTTTCCACCCCATTATACCCCATATAGAAGAGAATCCCCTTAAGGGGACCCCAAAAAGGGTTGGAAGCCCCTTATGAGCTCAGAGGGTTTTTGGCGTGCTTTCGCACCGCTTCTTTCGCCGGAGTGATGGGTCGCCGGATGAGCCCTTGCCAGGCACCTTTGCGCAACACAGAGCTTTGCCGATTTTTTCAAGCCCCTTGGCTGAGACCTGGAAGGCTTCCCAAATTAGGGGGGGGCGGGGGGGGTAGTACCTTATGAAGGCCGTTACTATAAGGTAGTCTTACTTTTTGGGGGGTCGTATTTCCGTAAAGCTCGCAGTGGGTGCTCATACTCAGAGGACTCGAATTTCCTTGCAACCTCGTAGGGGTACATCCTTAGGGGTATTTGAGTCGTAATCCCTTGACAAGTTTAACCAATACCCTAAACCCTAAACCCTAAACCCTAAACCCTAAACCCTAAACCGCGGTCTCAGGACCGGCTTAGGACCTCAAAAGATGCACCTTGTCCCTGCGATCACATGATCCCAGTAGCAACCAACCCCTTGCTAAATCCCATGCACCTGTGGGTTTAGGGTTGAGGGTTTAGGGTTTGCCCCGAAGTCCACCGAGGTGGGCCGCTGCAAGCGCGGTGGCAGTTGTAACTTCGCGCATTACCAGCCACTTGGGTTGAGGGTCTAGGGTTTAGGGCTTATAGGGTTTATATTGGGTTTAGAGGGTTCATAGGGTTTAGACAGGGTTTAGGGTTTTCATAGGGTTTCTAGGGTTGAGGATTCAGGGTTGAGGGTTTACAGGGTTTAAAGGGTTTATAGGGTTGAGGGTAGAGGGTTTACGGTTGGTGGCAAGTTTGGGGTGGGTAAGCTTAGGGCTCAAGGGTTTAGATTCAGGATTCAGGGAGGTTGCGGGTTCCAGAATCAGGGTGCCAGAACAGGCCAGCCGAACCAGCAGGAGAAGCCAGAACGACAGCCAGCCGAACCAGCAGGAGAAGCCAGAACGACAGCCAGCCGAACCAGCAGAAGAAGCCAGAAGGAACGCCTATGCAAGAAACCCGTGTCACAGCTGGTGGGCTGGTCAGGAGAAAGCCTTACAAACCCAAACCCAAAAATGTCTCGAGAGCCCGTCTAAGAGCCTCACAGTCCCACACCGCATAAAGTTAGCACCTCTTCTCCAAAAGGCTTCGCGGGGAAAACTAAAATTAGGGGCCCGTAATATAGACCCCCGAATAGTAGGATTCCCTGGGCCCTTAGTGACCCCTTACCCTTGTCATAGAGGGATCCGGAAGTATGTGCCCTCACTATCGTGTATGCGAGGCTTCGATAAGAAGGCGACCCACGGATCCCCGAACACCTAGGTCAGAGCTCCGACCGAAGCCCACCCTCCACCGCACGAAGCTCTGCGAGCTGTTTATGAGCACAGGCAGGGCAGGGACCTCTCCCCCCATATATCCACAGCCCTTGATAGGGGATTAGAATGGGGAGTGAACCCCAAACACTAAACACTAAACACTAAACCCCAAACCCCAAACCCTAAACCCTAAACCCTAAACCCTAAACCCTAACCCTGAACCCTAAACCCTAAAATGGGGAACATTCCAAGGCAGGGGTCCTAGGGCGGAGAGGGTGTTGGAGGGGATGGCTCTGTAAACTGGCGGGGTTCTTCAGGGGCGCGTCCACGCCCACTGCAGCTGCTGGGTATAAGACTCACGTAGCCGAAGTACGATCTTCGGGACGGATGAAACTGAGAATGCCTTTAGGGGTTTAGGGGTTTAGGGCTTTAGGGCTTTAGGGCTTTAGGGGTTTAGGGGTTTAGGGCTTTAGGGGTTTAGGGGTTTAGTGGTTTAGGGTTTAGGGTCCCCAGGCCGGGCGCACACTCTCGAGCTTCGGCCGCTTCCCTTCAGGCACTTGCAGATTCGGAGCATCGTGCAATCACGCCCATGGCCCGGGTCTCGGTGGCAGGGTTGGGACAGGACCCTTAAGCCACGCAAATCCCTAGAAACCCACTGCCCTTGCGCACGAACCTCACAGGGCCCCTGAAGAAATAGCTTCACCGGGGAGGCCTACCGCGTTGATCCTGTTGATGAGTTTTTGTTTTTCTTTCTCCTGGCCTGCTCCGAACGCTGTTGGCCGTGGCAGCGGACGGTGCAGCTGTGCAATGCCGTGCTGAGGGCTCTTTTGCCCGATTCGCTTCTGCAGCCATCCTCATACGCTGTCATCGATGAGCATCGATGGCCCTTGCCACGCAGCGCGCCATGACACCGTGAATGCCCATTAATTATAGTCACGTCGTCCTGAGGCTTACCAAGGCCTTTCACGGTCCACGTTTTCAGGCATTATCGCGAGGCCCCCAAAGGCAATCTACTGGAGTGCTTCGCAATTTTCTTGGTGACCAAAGAGCCCAAAAGGGTTCATGGTTCATATACCCTCATGACGATTATAGCATCATAGGGTGCATGATCCCCGTTTCAGGGTTCATGTGGTCCCCAGATTGTGCACAGTCTTTTCAGCGTAGCTGAGGAAGGAGGTCCTCCTTCCTCAGGGAGGAAGCAGATGGGCTTGGGTATACCAGGAAGGGCTATTCCACCCTTTAATCCTTTACAAATTGCCCGTCAAAGGTTTATTTATGGGGGTTGTATGGCCAAATAGCCCAGTCTGGTAGGCTAGCCAACCCTAAACCCTAAACCCATGACAAGCTGCCGCTTACACACAAGCGCGCTTCGCAGCAAGCCTGGAGCTAGACTGGGACCTCCAAGATTTGGATCCATGTCTAGTGGCTTTAGGGCCTTTAGGGTTTACCTGTAATTCCCCTTGCCTACAGTTAGTATTGCACCTGAATGAAAAGGTATAACCCATAAAACTGTAGGTAATTGAGTTTACAGGTAGGGTTCAGGGTGCAGGGTTCAGGGTTTAGGGTTAGGGAGTCCCTGCGGGCGTCTGGCAGTGAGCAAGTCCAGCTTTCAAGGGTTTAGGGCCGTTTAGGGTTTAGGGTTTAGGGTTTAGGGTTTTGCGTGTTGGCACCGAGGTGAACAGGAATTGCGTCAGGCCGAGGTGGGCGTGCGTAATGTGCAGTCTGATGTGATATCGGGGTTTGGGGTTTGGGGTTTGGGGTTTAGGGTTTAGGGTTTATGGTTTAGGGTTTAGGGTTTATATGCTTGTTGCAGTCGTGCAGGGTACCAGCAGCTTGGGGGTTACCGCTTAGCATGAGACCTGTGTCGGCAGTTGGCAGTGAGCATTCCAAGCGTATGCATGCGTCCTAAGTACGTAGAACTTGACACAGTACCACCGGCAGAAGTTACCGCAAGCACCCCATGCCCCAATGCCCCAAGCAAATAATATCTTGATCCATTCAGATTGTCTTGTCTCTGAGCATCTCAGCTGCTTTGGCATGTCGCCTTGTTCTGGGATCATAAACAGACTTACAAGCACACGCGCGCGGCCATACATGCATTCGACTACTTGCTCTCAGAGGCTCAAAAACACCAAATTAAGTAAGGAATATTGAGCTTATTGAACATTCCTTAAATCAGATTAGGGTGCCAGCTTGGGAGGTTCCCCCTTGTACTGACAGTCCTGAATAGGGTGTTTACTAGGGAGTACCACAATCCCTATGATATAAGGACTGTTAGTACAAGGGGGAACATCCCAAATTCTCGCCCTCAACGCTAGTGTCAGCTGCCTTGCATGCTTGTGCGATGCAAATGCGAGTTTATGCCCTTTGGGGTCGACGAAAAGTAGGGGACCCCTAAAAAGGACCCCAAAGAGTACCCTATTTTCGGAAACCCCCATTTGTGTTCACGCTGACGCGACAGGCACCCGCACCGGACTCTCAGAAGCGCAACGCGGGCGTCAAGACGCCGGCAATGGTCACTGTGGAACCTCTTTTTCCCGAGCCTTGTTGGCAAGTAGGTTATATAAGTAGACTTATAAAATGTGAGTTCTTATTTTTTGTCGTGGTGGCATTTTCTAGCCCACAGCACGGATCTCCTGGAGGGCCGATAAAGCCCCCGAAGCCTCGAAATTAGGGGTTCCGAAAATACGGCATAGCCCTAAGAAAGTAGGGTTACCTTGAACCCCGCTATGAGGTACCCCCAGTTTCGGGAACCCCATCCTGTCTTTGGCTGTCCGTACATTCCTGCCAAACCTGATCCGCGTGCAAGAGCGATCAAGGACTCGCCTGCGCCCGCCACGGGACTTGTGTTGGCAGATGCCGTTCAGGACGAAACCTACGTGAGGTTTGGGGTTTAAGGGTTTAGGGTTCACAAGGGTTTCGAATTCCAGACAAACCCAGGAAATGCAGGAACACCAGAGGCTCTTTTTAGTACCCCTTGGTATTTCGATATCGGAGTGCAGACTTCAAGCTTTTGCCTGTGTAGCAAAACATCCTCCCATTTGCTACTCCGTACCAAAGCGCACAGAACAGCACTGACAGATATGACGTCCATCTCAACCTTTGTCGTGTCCCTCGCCTGAAGCAACTTCAGCGCAGACCTCATGCCACTTGCACGGCTTGAAAACTTGCCACGCTTGTGAAGACCAGAACGCATGTCTCATCCGAAGCTCTGCACCTGAAGTCCTCATAACTTGTGAATCTGATCTGACCGAGCTTCTGAGGGTAGTTTCATCGGCCCTTTGTATGATCCCTCACCTCCTTTAGACGGTCTGATGTATGGGCCCTTATGAATTTGTTTGGGGTATGTAAGAGGTATAAGAGAGCCGTGTCGTTGAACCTTACACAGTAGCCCGTGGGTTTAGATTTTGGGATGAGGACCGCCCAAGTCCATCTGCCGAAAGCCACACCCCCCCCGAACCCTAAACCCTGATCTCCTACACCCTGAAACTAAACCCTGGACCCTGGACCCTAAACCCCAAACCCCAAACCCCGAACCTAAACCCTAAACCCTATAAACCCTAAACCCTAAACCCTAAACCCAAATGCTAGTCAGTCGTCCCGAAATGCTGCCCTAAAGTGTGGCTTGTCTGCTTGGCGGGTGGCCAAAGAAACCCGAACCCGAAGCGAATCTTTGTCTTTAGGCACATGGAGGATCTCGAACTTAAAGGGAATCCTACTATTTCGGGGACTACATCACGGGCCAATTGTTTTCGTAAACCTCCACCTAAACCCCAAACCCTAAACCCTAAACCCTAAACCCTAAACCCTAAACCCTAAACACACAGGATCCCATGGTGCAGCCTCTCTCATGGGAAGCTGCCGACGCCATGTCGCCAGATGAGATCCCAGTCACGCCATGGCCTTAGACAAAACAAGGGTTTAGGGTTTAGGGTTTAGGGTTTAGGGTTTAGGGTTTAGGGTTTAGGGTTTGGGGCGCCCGCAAGCGCAGCGCCACGACTGAACCCTCTTGCCTTGGGCACCACATTGGACCCCTAAAAGGTTTACTACTAGCGGTCGCATGGGGAGTTTTTTGATCACAATTTTAGGGTTCATCTGGTCCCTAAGGCAAGTGGCAGGAAGTTATGCTTTTGGAGCCCTAAACCCTAAACCATAAATGGCAGGTGGAGGGCCAGCTGGGTCGGTCGGACAAGCTTGGCAAACGATGCTCTAATGTATCAGTTGTACTAGACGCCAACTCTGTCAAATACCATGAGGGAGATGCTATATAATATGCACGGTTAGGGGGTTTAGGGTTTCGGGTTTAGGACTGAGTCATATAGTACAGTAATGTCTATAGCGCACAAGAAACTGTAGAAGATGCTATCATGAACCGTTGAAGCACATGCTGCTCACTGAAGCAAGCAGCAGTCACAGCAGGGAGCTTGCCTAAGTCTCGCGGCACACTGCTCAGTACCTTCAAGAACGCACGTGCGAGGTAATAAAGAGGGCCTGAATAGTCAGAATAGGGGTTTGTTTTACGACCCCTATATTAGCTATGATGCTCATTTTTCGTGCTGCCATGATATACTGCCTTCTGTCGCTGCCGTGGTTGGTGGAGTCCAAGATGGCGATGAAATTGCCACCTTCAGTGGACATGCGGAGCAATAGGGTCAACGTCAGCCTATTCTTGGTGGATGTGAACGCGCTGAATGAGCCTGATGGACAGATTGTTGTGAATGCCATATTCAAACTGTGGTGGAGAGACCCTAGATGGCGTGAGGCGATGGTGTATTCCATGGACAGGCACTGCAACGCAACCGGTTGTAGTGATCAGGACAGGATCGATCTCGAGCAATCGATTGACAGCAGTCTTAGCTCCTGTTTCGGCCAAAGCTACGAAGCTTTTGTTAGCTCCGCGAAAGATTTGGGACAGTCGCTCTCTGAGTTCTTGACGGTTGATGAATACATTTGGACACCTATTCCGGTGCATCTTCTGTTGAAGACCTCAGCAAACCCACGAGGCATCACCGAGTTTGATCCGATTGTCGCCATGACTGTGCCAGCGACCAGCGATTTCGAAGGACTTTGGGTGGACAACGAAAAGACATTTTTCGACGTGACCCTGTCGTATGATCACTTCCCGTTTGACACGCAATTGTTGGAACTCTGCATACCTTTCGAGTATTTTACGGATCCACACTTCCAGACCACACTGACCGGGCCCTTTGGCTCCATTTTTGCAACAGACATTTCACGAATCTCAACGATGTGGGATGGAACTTCGGTGATCAGCCCCGTTGCTTCCAAGCGCTTTGTAGAGAGCCTCGAACGAAAAGGTTTTGATGTGAATTCCATCGTCGTGCAAAAGGTGCAACGATCCCTGGCTACTTCCTCAATCTGCATACATATTTCGATGACCCGACGCATCGGCATCCTCCTTGTCCGGTTGTTTTGGCCTCTCAGCGCCTTGCTCTTCATTCCTTTCGCTGGGTTCTTCATTCCCATTGACCTGGTCATGCCGCGGGTCGCCACAGGCTTCCTATCTTTCCTGTCCTTGCAGGTCTTCAGGACCATGGCATACGCCTTGATTCCCCAGCATACGTCGTCGCTCCTGTGGATGGATGTTACCATGTTCTGTCTGACGGTGATCCTTTTTGCGAGCGTCCTGGAGAACGTTCTGGTGCAATTTTTGCGGTCTGCAGTATCCTCCCGCTCTGCACACTTCCTAGACAAGATTTCGCGGATCAGCTTTCCCTCGGTGGCCGTGCTTGTGCTGGCTGTCCTCTTCATCATGGGCTGGGCGCAGGTTGATGTTGCCTGGCTCATGACGACCATGCTTTGCATCCTTTGCGGGTGGCTGGTCAGCTGCACCTGTGTGATGGTCACGTACCTCCGTTCCTTGCACTACCGGCTCATAGGAGTCCTGATAAAGCAGGTCTCCTCTCGGAACTTCCGCTACCAGAAGGCAGCTGCTATGGACCAAAGCGAGCCTCTAGGTTGGTTCTTGGGACATTCTTTACTATCCGGATTCCTTACTTGGGTTTATAAGGGACCCTATATATAAATATTATAAGGGACCCTATATATATATATAATATTCTTCCGAGGGTTTATAAAGGCCAACCCAGGCTTGCCCTGATCTTCCAAGCTTTTGACACGGACGGGAGCGGCGGTGTCAGCGCTGAGAAGATCATCGAATGCATGGAGGCCCGGGGCCTTCGCTTTAGGGAGATTGCGGATGAGCAGCACTTCAAGGCGCGGCTGAAGCAAGTCTGCCGCTCTGAAGCCCTTGACCTCTCAGAATTCTGCTTTCGTTTCACGGAGCTTTTCAGCTATCACCATGAGACGCCGGCACCTGCAGAGTTGAAGGCGGCACCTGAAGAGGTGGAGGTGGCCCAGGAGGTCGGGGCAGCGCCCGAAGAAGTCGTCTGGAGGGCCATTTGACGAGCCCAGGAGGGGCTGTTAAACAGCCCCCTGCTTGTGGTGTTCTTGTTGTAGCCCTTATTGGGGTCATCGACATCTCAGAAGTGTGGGGACATGCTCTGAGCTTGTGACTGCAGAAATCGCGGTCATTAGTTGCGGTCAGTTGTTCTCAACAAGTTCTGCTGCACTTCTCTGCCACAAAGCCGTTGCCTAGCCGTTAACCCCTGAACCCTAGACCCAAACCGAGGCTTGAGGCCCTTCACTGACTTCCAGTTGGGGGTGTGAGTACTACTTAGGGAGGCGATTGTTAGGCTTGTTGGGCCCAGCCACTAGAGCTGTTCCTCGGCTTTCCGCTGCTGTCATGCTATTCAGCAGACGACACGCGACCGGAAGAGAAGAAGCTTAAGTGAGGGGATTGCCATAGGGTCCTCTTCTTAAGAAGCGCTTGGGGCTTCGTTGCAGTTGCAGTGTCCCTTGGCAACTTAGCTTGGAAATGAGCTCTGCGATCCAGAGCCATCCACGACGGGAACCAGGCCCTAGAATTCCTAACCCCCCCCAAAGGATGGAACCCTCAAGACTAATGAATGTGGACCGATCATGCTCCCTGTGTCAGAGGCTGCTGCAACGACTGATGAGCGAGCAAGCCCCCATTTACGATGCTGGGACTGCAAAGGGCATTGGGTGGCGTAAGGGTTTGCTGTTTTGAGGTTACAGGTTGGGATTCAGTCGGCTTTAGCCGGCAGGGTTGGGGCAAGGGGGCTTTTGTACCCTTAGGCTCAAAATTGCCCAAAAACCTTTTATAAGAAGGCCTTTTGGCCCAAAAACCCTAAAATAAAAGGCCTTAGAGCCTTAGGAGGTAGCAGAAGGCAGGACAAGTAGGGACCATTTCGCTGAGCCTTGAATCAGGAGGCTCATTGTTGGTGGGGGGGGGGGGGGGGAAAAAATTACTAAAAGGGGGTAGCTCGGGAGCTACACCTCAAACGTTGCTAGGTTGCTTTATTATTTCAATTCCTAACATACCTTCTTCATTTTCTTCCCCCCTTCCACCTTATCCGCTTTTCAGAAGGGGCTTCTAGGGGTTATTGTCCAATATTGCCCTTTTACCCACGGTTTTCAGCATTTTTTCATCATACATTTCCACCTCATTCATTTTTCAACTCCACTCCCCAACATTCATTCCAATTCTCTTACCATCGCCTCTCATTCATTTCCCCTAATTTCCATCCTACTTTTCCAAAGCTCCCTAACAATACCCTTACCAAAGCTCCCGTTGCTTGAAGTCCTTAATCATCATATTAATTAATTTAATATGATGGTTATCTAATCCATTTCATTTAATTTTATTGCTTTTCTTATCATTAGCTCTTTTTCTATTATATTTTTCATTAGCTCACCGTGTTTTTTAGTGTTTATATGTTTTCCATATTGAGACCTTTTGATTACACATCCACATTTACAAGTCATAACAGTTATATCTTCATCTAAAAAGTTTCTTTTGTTAGACCTACTAATCATAGAATTTATATGACAAAGACTTTCAGACCTTGAAGCTTTATTCATTGTCATTCTGAAAATGTTCGTCATTATTATAACTTTAACCGTATAAAGACCATCATCTGTTTCATAATTTAGTTTTTTCTGAACATAATTGATAATTTTGTTTATGTGATTGAACATTTCAAAGAAGTTTTCAACACCTCTGCTTTTATACAACTCATAAGCTATATTTTCATAAGTAAATATAGTATTACAACAGATAAGCTTTCTGATTGTTTCAAAATACTTCTCACTAATACAATAAAAGCTTAACATACAATCATTAACAATATTATTACCAAAGTTTAATCCTAAGACGTCATTGATGAATTCTTCATAAGTTGGAAATAAACCGTCTTTCAAGCATTGTCCTATAAAATTAGAAACATCCTTATGTTTGTCTGGTCTGAATTTTCTTTCAACAATTCTTGAAATCGGCTCTCCTCTCATTTTTTCTCTTAATATTATAAGGTTTTTTGTCTTTAAGTGATTTTTGTTTTAGGTTTCGTGTTGGCTAGACTGCTTCAAATTTTATTTCCATAATTCAATAATATCTTTACAACATTTGATACTCTTCAACTTACAGCTTTTGTCAGATATCTTTTTTGACAAGTCAAAATAGCACGATGACTTTTTATTAAGCCACATAACAAGTTCTTCTGAATTATCTTCATCTAATGCTTCTATTTTGCTATTATACTTAAATATTTTCTTATAAATATTGTCTATGTCCTCATTTAATTCTTCAAGTTCAATTTCATATATTTTCAGTTCTTCTTCTTTCTCCTTAATACGTTTCTCGCTCATTGCACTAATATTATAGGGCGTTTTGTCTTTAAGTCCTTTTGTATTTTCAATCAACCAACAACAACTCGTGTCTATTATAGTGCTTTTCCCTACCTTCCAAAACATAATATTTATTAAGCTGTGGGTCTCGTTTTACTTCCTTGACTTCATAACTCCGTTCAGACCACTGACTGCGTGTCTCCTTTCTGCTGGTATAGTTGCCTTTTCCTTTATCAAAAACTTTAACCTTATCTCCGGCTTCAATCTTTGGGTATCTCCTTAAATACTTTTCTTTCAACACTGTGTTAGCCTTAACTTCAACAGAATTATCGTCTTTATGTGCTTCGTCTGGTATCATTCCAGTTGTTGAATGAACCATCTTTTTGTTATACTTATCCAAGACAGGTTTCAATAATATGGTCCAAGCCCCTTTTGTTTCTAAAGCTCTGTCACCAATCATCTTTTTAAATGTTCTAATCGCTCTTTCTGCTACATTAGCGTGAGTTAGTGTTACAATGTGCGTAATACCCTCACCTTTGAAATAATCCTGCAATTTCTTATAATTAAATGCTCCATCGTGGTCAGTATAAATACTTTGCGGTTGTCCTAATACTTTGAAACATTCTAGGAAAGCTTTATAAACATCTTCTCCATCTTTGTTTTCCATCGGCACTACGTGAGTTTTCTTACTAAAATTATCAATACAAATCAAACCGTATCTTTTATATTCTTCTTTAAAGGTGTCAGTGTCTTTCATCAAACTAGTCATATCCATAATATCAATAGAATAAACAGCTCTCGCAAAAGGAGGCGAATAACTGTTTGAATTTTTATAGTTTCTTCTTTGTTTGTTAGGTTGTTTTTTAACCCACTCCTTAACTTCATCTAGCGTTATTGCAAGACCATCTTTCTTCGCTTCTTCATACAAATTTCTAACGCTTCCATAACCCCTTTCTAAATCATAATATATCTTTTCCAGAACTTCGTTTTTACTCATATTTAATATTAATAATATTTTATTAATATTAAATCATCCAAACAAAACCTTTCTTACAATTCGTTCTCCTAATTCTGCCTGTCTCTTTTCTTCCGAAAGTCTTTGACACTTAACGCTTTTGTAATGCTTACTTCTTATTGTGTTTGTTGATAGCATACTACCACATCTTTCACATTCATATTCGTGACTGTTGTTTTTAAAGTAATTCTTAAAATATCCTTCTTCTCTGTATTTTGCATTTAAACGGTCATTATGAGCTTTCTTCTTCAACTTCCTTTGAGACATTACTTCATCATTTGATTCAATTGAGTTCCACATTGCATCAAACAAATCTTCATCAATACATAATTTTTCTCCATTTTCTGAAACAAGAAAAGAATTCATTTATCTTATCTATTAAATATAAATATTTCTTTAAGTGATTTTTCTTTTAGGATAAAAATCATTTGAAAGAAATATTTATTTATCTACTTCTTCCTGACGAACTCCTAGACCTTATGTATTCAATAGTCCTTTCCGAACTGGCAACACTAACGGGATTTGAACTTTGTAAATATTCAACTGTTCTATCGGAGGGCACTGAACTTTGAACTGTTTCCGGTGGGCTGGATTGAACGTATTCGCTCAATGCTCCTTCTTCAACGGGCAGTAAAACACTTCTTCCTGAACTTCTTCTTGAACTTGATGAAGATGATGATGGTTCATAAGATTTTTTAACATTCATCGGTAAAGAAGAACTACTCGCTTGGCTTTCTTCTGTTGCTAAACGCTCTACATTCTCCTCATCTTCTTCCTCTTCTCTTTGCTGTCGTTGTTCTCTCATTCTTCGTAACTCTTCTCTTCCTTCTTCGTATTCATCATCTCCGAACATACTATCAAACATTCTTCTCATCAAACTTTTTTCGGTTTGCTTTCCTTTTTGTTTTTCTGCTTGTTGTTCAACTGATTTCGCACTGCTTACTATACTAGATGCTTCACTCACTTCTTCCTTCACTGCTTCTTCGGGTGTTCTCATACTTTCACTAACAGAAGAATTTGAAGAAGAAGCTATATTAAAATCCGTCTGTGTTGCTTTATTTGGATTATCATTATTGTTAATATTTATTCTCTTATCATAATTACTTAAATCAAACTCATCAAAATCAACATCATCTAGTAAAATACCCATTAAACTTCTTCTTTCTCTTTCCGGTAATACTTTTAACCTTCTCGTTCTAGCTTCCTTTAACATTTGCTCATATGTAGGGCGAAGTTTAAGCATTCTATATATTTGTTTATATAATACTTGCTAATGCATCTTGCGCTACTGCGAGAGCGACGTCTTTTGCAACTTCTTTACCTGCATTTAAAACCGCACCACCTACTGCTTTTGCTCCACTAGCAATAGCTGAACCAATGCCACCACTTGAAGAAGCGCTTTCTTGATTTGTAGGTTTCTTTTTCATCATTTTTCTCATTTCTCTAAACTTCTTCGCTTCCTGTTTTACTCTCTTACCTGCGAAGCCTGATTGTTGCCATTCCGCTGTTTCTTTCAAGCCTTCAATGATGGAAACCAGATACTGCTTCTTTCTCTGTTCGTTTGGCAACTTGTCGGTTAATTCCATTATTTCGGGTGACAATAAATCGCGAACATATAATTGAAATAATAAACCTGTTGATTTAATGTCTTGATTATTGATAAGATTGTCTGGGTCAAAGTCTC